TATAGGGGGATATATAGGGATATCTGGGGATTATATAAGGGTCCAACGACCCAAATAATAGGGTTTTAGGGCCCAAATACCATTAATATTACAGTATTTGGGCACTAAAGCCCTATGATTTGGGTCCTTGGACCCTTAGGGTTTCCCAAGGAGTTTTACGGTTTAAGGATTTGGGGTTTAGGGATTTAGGGTTTAGGATTTAGGATTAGGGTTTGAGAGTTCAGGGTTTTAGGGATTAGGGTTTGAGGGATTATGCTTTTAGGGATTAGGGGTTTTAGGGATTAGGGTTAAGAATTTAGGGAGTAGGGTTTACGGTTTAGGGTTTTAGGGGTTAGGGTTTAAGGAGTAGGGTGTAGGGTTTAGGGTTTGGGGGTCAGGACATCTTTGGGATTTAGCTATACGGGGTCGACCCTTTAGGGCTTTGAGGTGTTTCCAGGATTGGGAGTCTCCTTGGAGGGGATTCTCTGGGTATAGTGCGTACTGAAGGTTCCATGATATGTAGATTTGGGCTTAGGGTTAGCAGGATGTTTATAATACTTAGGAAAGTTCAGGATAAAATGGAAGAAATATCTCGAGGAGTGAATTCAGAGCAGGTCTTTAAAGGATTCCCGCTCGGCACCTACTGAAACATAATAACGTTCTGTGGTATGTTTTGCTATACTTGCGTATGATGTATGTATGTATGTATGTATGTATGTATGTATGTATGTATTTATGTATGTATGTATGTATGTATGTATGTATGTATGTATTAATGTAATGTAATGTTATGTTATGTTATGTTATGTGATGTGATGTGATGTAATGTAATGTACGTATGTATGCGTGCAGTCATACTTAAATCGAGCGCCTAGTGCAAGGCCAGCCGTTAGGCGGTCCACGTAGTGCACCTGCAGGGCCAGCGGTCAAGGGGTCCAGGTTGTTCAGTGCTTGCTGGTTGTGGCGGTCATGGACTCCTTGCTAGCTGACCCCAATACCAAGCCACATGCATTCTCAGCTAAGGCGTTATCGCCGAAGGAGCCCTCTGCCGTAACTCCAAGACCTACGCCGTAAACGGTAAACCCTAAGAAATGGGAACCAGCATTCTTACTGGCCTATTTTCTTTTGAGCGCAACCTGTTGGGCTGCCATGATCAAAGTATTTGGCTCTGGACTTTTAAAGCCTCAGCATCTCTCGAATTTTTACAGTGCTCAAGGCAGCCCAACGCAGGAAATCCCACGCCCCAAGCCTAGCAATTCCACGCATATTTGCTACAAAATCCTGGGATGCCCCTCAATGGCATGGACCTCTAACGCCCTGAGCCACGCTTTCTGGAGGACTTGCCTCAGACCACCCCAGTCTCCATTTCATTGTCCATGTTTTTTGAATTGTTTCTCCATTAGCCCGGAAAATTCATCGCCCATGCCCGTCTGTATACATACCTTTATATGTATAGACGCACATGCAACGCAGTCATATAATGCCGGGAGCCCCTAAAAAAGGCCTGAAATTACGAAACCCTAAGCCCTCAGGCCTGCCCATCTATTTAGCCTCAAATATGTACACATAGATATGTATATAACTGTACGTATGTCCTCATCTACCCCTTCTAGGGCCTTTGACAGGGACAGAAACCTTGAACCCAAACCCTTGATCAATCCCTCAACCGTAAACCCCCTAAACCCCATACCCTCAAGCCTAAACCCTCAAGACTAAGCCCGAAACACTAATCTCCTTGAAGATGTAAAGGCATGTTCATCGTCTTCGGGCAGTGGAGAAAACCCTAAACCCTAAACCGGTCCAACATGAGTGAGAGGCATAGAACCGTAAAGAACTGAGAGGGCAACACACCCAACCTCGTGCCGCAGGCAGACGTAAAAGTCCGAGGGGTTGAAAAAAAAAAACGGTCCAACGAAACAAGAACAAACTTTTGAACTACTGTTACTACTGTTTACTACTGTTACTACTGCTCCCTAATCCTGATCCCTAAACCCTCATCACTAAATCCTAAACCCTTTTGAACATACCACCTTCGAACCTTGGCCAAGGCAGCTTCGGCGAGACAAGGGAGAGGCTTTTCAAGCAGTGAGAAATGGTTTCTTTCGGGGTAGGGTTGAATGGGTTTAGGGTTGAGGGTCTGGGGTTGAGAGTTTAGGGGTTGAGGGTTTAGGGTTGAGGGCTTAGGGTTGAGGGTCTAGGTTTGAGAGTTGAGGGGTTGAGGGTTTAGGGTTGAGGGTGTGGGGTTAAAATTTAGGGTTGAGGGTGAGGCTCCAGGGGTAGTTGTTTTTGATTTTTGTCCGTTGACCCGCCACACCTCTCCAGACATTACCGGGCTGCTGTTGGGGAACAGAAGTTAAGGTAGCATTGCAAGGAAAACATATCACTTACCATGATATGTCCATTCTGTGGCAGTTTTATCCAACTTTCTTTACAGCCACCCTGCTTATGAGCTGCCAACAAGGTGCGGCCTCAGTTTGGTGCGTTGCCTTTACTTGAGGATTCATCGGTACGAAGAACCCAAGCTTAGGGTGATAACACGAAGATCGCCATATTGGGGGACGGAACACGCTCATTATATCGGGAGGCATAGGCTACGGTCGACGCATGACGTCTTGGGAGAGTAATGAAGAAGCCTGGATAACTAGATGTGCTGTTCCCTTTTTGACACGTAAGTTTCCCTTTTCACTCGAGTAAGCAAGCGATTATTCTAGTTATTCATCCTTCCTATTTGCGAGATGGGAGTTTGATAGAAAAACCGTGTTGAGTCCTTAAACAGGACCCCCGCAATCCTCACGTGATCCCTGACGAGCCCTAGGGTTCGCGAACTCCTCGCATTCTGGGAAACCTCCAACATGCCCGTTTCTGCCACGTTCTACAGACATTGTGTGGGGTATATACTGGAGACACCGCGGTTAGCATTTAGGGGTATTAACCCCAACACTGGACAATCAAATGGACAAGACAGAAATTTAATGGCAGCTACCGGTTGCGTTTAAGGTTTAGTGACATGGGCATTTCTCGAAGTCGGCTAGGGACCCCAGACATATAGCTGGAATAGAACTAGGAGGGCTATGGGGTCCTTATTCGGGTTGTGATACGGAGTCCATGTTGAGAAAGATTAATTTTCAGCTTAAATCCCTCATCCTTAAAACACTAAACCCTAAACCCTAAAACCTAAACCCTAAACCCTTAAACCAACAAAAAAATCCAGCTGGGCATAGCCACAATGAAGCTGTCAGTCCAAATGCCTAAGCTCTGAGCCCTAAATAGCTCTCAAACCAAAAGCCTTCAAATTAGGGGGTACCTTTAAAGGGTGCATATAGGGTTTAGGGTTTCCCGAATTCGGTACATTTTTCGGGGTCCGCAGAAGAAGGATTGTGGTATCTTGGGGTCTATGTTGGGGTATTCTACTCATATTTATGGAAACTATTCCAGAACGCTAGAGCCCTACTGCCATTTTGATCAGCAAGCACCCGAGGATACTTCTGCCAGGGACTTCATGCAGTCGGTGCTGAGCCTCGTCAGACAGGGGGATTTCTCAGTATTTGATACCAGTGGGCACCCTTCAAGGTGGGTGTAAGGACCTACAGGGATCAACAAGGTGTCCCAAGTTAAACCCCAAACCGTAAACCAGGACGTTTCTCAAAGAGGGCATACCCTAAACGGCTCTTTGGAGGGTGGGATGCATAAGGATATTTGGGACTCAGAAACAATTTAGGGTTTTGGGTTGAGGGTTTAGGGTTTACGGGTTTAGGGTTTTGGGTTTAGGGTTCAGGGGACTCTGGAAGGGGACAGGTTCTAGAGCTGAGCAACCCTTTGGGAACCTAAGGGTATGCAAGAATTGTCAGGGATCATAGGGGTTCCAACCCTGAATCCCTAAACTCTAAACCCTAATCCCTAAACCCAAAACTGTATAGTCCCTCCGTGGGCATTCCACTGAAAAGTTCTGATGTCTTGGGATATTGCTGGGCAAATAGCGAACTCAAAACGGGTTTATGGTTTCACTCGTCCCTAGTTGTAGTTAAAATTGGGAGAAGATTCAAAAGGGCCTTAACTTTTGAGTTATTATAACTTGCCCAGATTTTGGTTGATTGTCAAAGGGTGCTGGTGGCTGAGAGTTTACAGGGTCTAGGTGGCACGGTCTCGGGCAGGAGGGGGGACCGGTTTGGGGGAAAGGGTTTAGGGTCGGCTTGCAACGCCTTATATGCAATCCTTCTGGGGCCCAAACCCCGATTCTCAAACTCTAAGGCCTAAAACCTTGTTAAGTAAACCCATATGAGCCAACCTTAAACCTTAAAACCCTGACCCATACTCTAACCTCTCTAAGGCTGGACTATTGCAGTGGAGATGAAGGGGCTAATAGGAGTTTACAGTACACTATGGCTCAAATTGAAAAACATCAGACACCCATATATGGCTGTGTACTGCCCCCTCCCGAAAGCCTGCAGTCAAGCCGTACATCAGCCCGCCGAATGTTGAGCAAAAGCTTCAGGCTGCAGGAACTAGAAGCGTGTATGGGGTTCCATAATTGTTTGTTGGAGTGCTTTGTCGCTCTAAACAGGAATTCTTTCGGCAATTCTCTACCCCTCAACCGGATGCACATGTGACTGTTGCTTGATCGTCTTTCTGAGGGCTGGCAGCTTGCGGTTACCAAGTAGACTTGTTCTTGTGGGTTGAACACCCCAACACCCTGCGAAATCCTGAATGAGGAATTCAACATATCCTGACGGCCGACCCATCACCGACGAAGAGATCGTCGGATTTTTGATCGCCGGCTTCTTCGGCGGAACCACGGCTCGAAAAGGGTCGAGTATGGGGTTTAGGTTTCAGGCTTCGGGGGGTCCGGTTTAGCGCTTTGCGTTGCATGATACAAGGGATGTAATGTTGTTCGCCGCCCTGGAGAAGTACCCTGAAGCAAGTACTTGCTTATCATGCGAAACATGTATTACGATTCGCAGCACCAAAATCCCAAGTACCCAATGGTTGTTTTTTGAATTTTCTTTTGTGCTTTGCCTTCAGGAATGCACAATAGCTCCATCACCACTTCGTGGTCAACGCGCCTCGGCATAATCTTACTCCAAGGTAGAGTTGCCCATGTCTTACTGGCTGTCAGCAGGGAATACGGGAATATACTATATAGGAGCTTTATCAGGATTATATTTCCTTATACCCTTTTGAGACCCAATAAGACGTGGTATGTATTTGAGGCGCAGGGTAGCTTCCGGAAACTCGTCTGGGCCTTGAGTACAGGCTGCGTATAGTACAGATACACGGACACGAAAGGGTTGTCTCGGCTTTCGGAAGCAAGGTTTGACATTCAGTGGACGGAGTATGCGTTACGGTCTTACTTTACTGGGGTTTGGTAGGGAATAAGTTACGTGGGGATTCTATTCCCTTATAGGCTACTAGCAACTAGTGAGTTATGTTGTCTTTCAGGGATAGTCCTCATGTTGAAGATTTGTCGTTTGTGTGCGAGGCTGACGGGAGCACCTTCTTAAGGGAAATCCTCACGTCAAGGAGTTGTCCTCAGCGCTCGGCACTTCGTAGGGCTCCCCAAGCTACTGTAGTTGACGATGCTCCGTGTCAGTTTAGGGTTTCGGGTTTAGGATTTAGGGTTTAGGGTTTAGGGTTTAAGGTTTAGGGTTTAGGGTTCAGGGTTTAGGGTGTTTTCCATAAGACAGATAAGACAGAGAGAGAGAGAGATATACTCAAATTCAAGAGTCCTTGCTCTGGGACCATCTACAAGGAACCCCACCAAGTCTGGGAGACTCCCATACAGGCACTTGCGCTCTTAGGGACAATTTCTTCACGCATTTAGGATTTGGGGTTCAAGGTTTAGGGTAAAGTTCGTTGGAGAGTGGATTGTCGTGCAAGAGTATTGTTCCTGCTTTCTGCTGCAAAGCCTTGCATTCCTGGGTCCCAGGTGGATTGTAGAAAATCCACAGCATGTAGTTCTGTTTAGAGTTTAGGGATACCATTAGTATGACCCTTGTTGCTATGACGAAAGCTGTTACTATGAATTTACTGAGACTGTTTGCCACTGTTGCTATCAAAGCCACCATCAGTATCACTACTGCTAGGACTGCTGCTGGGAATCACTCTACGGTCAAGCTTCATAATAAGAAAACTACATCCAGAGTCTCAATATTTCTTAAATAGGAGAGGAGTATAAGAAATGTAGCAATGGGCCCCAGGCTCTCGAACATATTTCTTAAATATTCAACCCTAGATCTTGAATCCAAATCTTAGGACCTTTCCGTTTAGAGTTGAGGGCTTGGGGAGGCTCGAAATGAATTAGTGGCAGCCACTAATTCATTTCAGCGTTTTGCAGGGGGTGGGATTTGAACCAGGAACCTTTCGGTTTTGAGTTGGGAGGGGCTGGGCAGGCTCGGGAGGCCCTGGCTGGAGAGATTCTGAGAGGCCCTCACGGAGCGCGAAACGAATTAGTCGCAGCCACTAATTCGTCTTAGCGTTTTGCAGGGGGTGGGATTTGAACCAGGAACCTTTGAGTTTAGAGTTGAGGGCCTGGGAAGGGCTAGGGAGGCTCGGGAGGCCTTGGGATTCCTGGAAAGGTTCTAAGAGGCAAACGTGACCAGTGGCCACTAATTCGTTTTGGCGATTTGTGGGGGGTGGGATTGGAATTAGTAACCTTTAGGAACTCCAGTATCCCCATTAATGCTTCCTTTGTGGAGTTTAGACCCTGAACCCCAAACCCCAAACGCTATACAACCCCTTTACCCTAAACCCAAACCCTCTATAACTCCCTTACCCTAACCCCTACATAACCTCCTTTAATAGGAGAGAACCTTTGACTGCCAAGCTTTGGATTTTGAGTTTTGGGTTTAGGTTTAGGGCTGGGGTTTCATTGAAACCTGGCTGCCACTAATTCGTGTAGGGCCCCTCAGAACCTCTCCGGGAATCCAGGGCCTCCCCAGCCTTCCCAGCCCCTCCCCGGCCTTCAACTCTTAACCCAAAGGTCCCTGGTTCAAATCCTACCCACTGCAAAACGCTAAAACGAATTAGTGGATGCCACTAGTTTGTTTCGCGCTCCGTGAGGGCCTCTCAGAATCTCTCCAGCCAGGGCCTCCCGAGCCTCCCCAGCCCATCCCAGAGGCTCAACCTGTGGCTCCAATAACCTACAGTTTAGTAGTAAGTATCCCTTAATTAGTAGGTATAACCCATAAAACTGTAGGTTATTGGGGTTACAGGAACTCCAAATTTTTGATGCGAACCAAAGTTTTTTCCGCCGAGTGAGACTCTCAAATAATTCATTTTCTGTGGATCCAGCGTCTCATTTCTTGTTTAATAGAATTTCTTAACATTCAGATCGACTGTACTGTATCAAGCTCAAGTGGCTCGAGCCTAAACGCGCAAGACTTGCGGATCAAAGAGCACTGTAGGTTCAGGGTAAGTATAACCTACGTACGACTTCAAACCCATGCTTACCCTTATTAGGGGACTTATCGGGCTAACAGTTGGGCTGGTTGCAATGTACAGTGCTAAACGGGCTTCAAGGTTTAAATACCTTGGCTACTCTGAACCTCCAGGTACAGCTCAGGAACTTGTGTACCTATGCAGTATATGCTCGAAGTCCTACCGAGCTCCAGAAACTTATGGTGCAAAAGCATGAATACTCTAGGACAGACTCCGTCAAGGGATTGATGAGAAGAAGCCCGACAAAACGGGGGTCACTTCCATGCACTGTGTGATCCAGATGGCAATACATCAACAACGCAAAGGGTGGAGAGAGCTTCCGAGACAAGCTCGGACGGGACCGTAACGCATAAAACGCATGGTACTGGAATTTAAGGAGAAGGCTGAGCAAGTGATTCGACATCGGGACCACAGGGTTTTGAGTGACCGCGATCGTGCTCGGGATCGAAGGAAACCTGGAGAGGGAGTACATCGCTGACCGTGACCTACGGGTGGGTGATGAAAGTATGTTGGGTATGCGGAATGTGAGAGGTCAGCTGGTCATGAAGATGTGGCGAGTGGCCACTGTGGACCACCACAAGGAATATATCTATACCTACATGCAACCTAAATAGTACTTCAGCCAGGATCCAGTACCTGCAACTTTCGAACGCAGCCTTCAGCGTTTGGGATTTGAGGGTCAGGGCTTCGGGGTTTAGAGGGGGCTTGGGCGTTTAGAGGCCCGGGGATTTGGGTCTAGGGCTACCTTCAACTCACTGTGAATGCTTCTGCTGCGTCAGCCAAGAAGCAACCTTTTTCCCCTGCATTATCATGAGCTTTCTTTCTACAAACCTTAACCCTGCACCCTTCATCTAAACCCTGCCTGATGCAGTTGCTGATTATGTTAATGGGTTCAGACATTTCCAAAAAGTAAGCCCAAACCCTGTTGCCTAAGCCTTTACACCTATGTTTCTCGTTGTTTCTCTCGGTTTCTCTCTCTCTCTCTCTCTCTCTCTCTCCCTCGCACTCTCTCAGTGTCTCACTGTCTCTTTCACTCTCACTCTCATTCACACCCATTCACATTCTTCAAAAGCCTACCCATGCATACATATAGTCTATTTTCCCAAGACCCCTCTTTGGGCAGACGCTGCTTTGAGAAAAAAAAACCGTCCCCCGAGGCTGGAGATCTTCTCGCGCCCAGATCTTGTCAAGGAACTCCTCACAGAGCAGCGGGAGGTCTGCTGCTTTTTAGGGGTAAGGGTTTAGGGTTTTGGGCTCAGGGTTTGGGGCTTAGGGTCTAGGGTTTAGGTCTAGGGTTTAGGTGTAGGGTTTGGCGCTTAGGGTTTGGGGCTTAGGGTTTAGGGTCTAGGGTTTAGGGTTAAGGGCTAAGTGTTTTGGGTTTAGGAAGGAGCCCAGAGGGCGACCCTGTCCCAATTGCTGGCGAGAGTATCTTTGTTGTTCCAGGGCTGCAGGGTCAAGGGTGCAATTTAGGGTCTAGGGGTTTAGGGCTTAGGAGGCAGCTAGGTAATCTAGAAGCCTGAGAATCGTGCCTATACAACTTATATTGCCGTCTAGAGTCCCAGGTATCTGAAGATGATATTGGGCTCATGCAGGATGTTCGCAGTAAATCCCTTTATGCGTCTAAAGTAGGTGCACCCCACACCTCAACCCTAAGCCCAAACCCGTAAAGCTTCATTTAGGGTCGGGTGTAAGGTTCCCCTGTGTGAGCTGCAACGGGGCCTGTTCAGGGTTTGGGTTTGTTTTATTGAGGGTAAGTCAGGGGTTTAAGCCAGAAGCTTTGGGTTGAGATTTCAGGGTTGAGGGTCGGTGGCTAGGGCGTTTTGCGCAGTGCTTTCCGCAAGAAGGACCATTGTGACTCCCCTTGCTTTCCCCAAACCATAATCACCACATCTAGCAACAGGTTCTAAATATAGTATCGTTCTATATCAGCAGATTGTTTTTTTGTTAGCGGGGGGCTGAGATGGTATGATCTCTCGTTCAAGGAGAAGGCTCTTTACGGCGATCCGGATAAACCTTAAACCCTAACCCTCAACCCTGAAGCTTACACCCTGAAACCTAAACCTTTGCTCTAAGCCCTGTCATCCTTAACCCTAAGCCCTAAACTGAGCCCTAAACTTGAAACCCTAGACACTAAGCCCCAAACCCTAAGTAGTAGGTTCCATTTTCTTTTCCATTATCCCTATATAACCCCTATATAGAAACCTAAACCCCTACCTAAACCCCAAACCCATATGCCCTAAACCCATAAACCCTAAACCCCTAAACCCCTAAACCCCTAATCCCCCAAACCCCTAAACCCCAAACCCTAAACCCTAAAAGGATCTCCCTCGTTGAAAGCCGGTACCTGCAAAGGTGCTGGGCAGCGACGCGGCGAGTTTCAGCTTCGACGGCTATGAGAAGATGAAGAAGTCACAGGGCTTGAAATCCCTGAGCCCTAACCCAGGGTTAAGTGGTCAAGGGGGTTTAGGGTTAAGGGTTTGGGTTTAGGGTTAGGGTTTAGGGTTTAGGGTCCCTGCCCTAAACCCCCTGTTTAGGGTTTATATAGGGGTTATATAAGGTTTATATAGGGGTTATGTAGGGATAATGGAAACCCCAAGGGAGCTTTAGGGTTCCCTTGCTTCCCATTGGGGTGATATTAGGGTTATAGTGCGGTTGTTTTGGGATATCCCTGAGCCCTGAACCCTGTTTAGGGTTTCTGGTTTAGGGTTTAAGGTTGCTGATTTTTAGGTTTGGCGGTTCGAGCATTTAGGATGGTGTCGCGTAAGAGTTAAGAGGCCTTGCGGAGTCCCAAAACCTTCAAAACAAGTGTGGCTGAGTTGCGCTTCAGGACTTTCAGGAGTTTGAGCTCTAAACCCTAGAGCCCCTAAGCCGTGCACCCCAAAACTTCCTAAAACGCAGTTTTCGGAAGTTAGGGGTCCCTTGTAGGGCATCCTACCATAATGCCTAAAGCTTTTGGGAATTCGTGTTTGGTTTCCCTTTCCCTGTATAGTTCCTCAACATCCCTTTTTAACCTTATGATTCACTGAGCCCAAAGCTTCCTAAATCATGTTGGAGTAGTGACCATTCTTTCGCGAAATTTGAGCCTTTGTAGGTTTACGGTTTGGACAGGTTTTGCGATGTGTCGTGTGTGTAGGGTTTTGGGCAGTTTGGGATGTTGGGTGGGGTCTTGAGGTTCCGAAGCTAGCATGGCTTGTATTATGGGATCCGTAAGGGGGCCCCTTATATGGGTGACCCATACATAAGCCTTTTTAAGACCTTTATAAGGCCTCCCTGAGACTCCCTAAGGTCCCAAAAGGTCTCCTATTATGGGGCCCCCTTAGGGCTTCCATAATTGTAGGACTTCAGATGCATTTTCCAAATAAGCCCAACAGCCTCAACCCTAAACCACATGTACACGGCCTTACAGATTCGTTATTCCTGTTGCTGGGTTTCTTGACTCATGTTTCATTTTCCGTGTCTATAAGGTTCAGGGGATTTAGCGAGTACTTATAACTGGGCTTATAACCCTGCTTCTAGTCCTACTGGACCTATGTAGGTTGCCCCGCATATGCGTAGCGTTAAAGAGTTATAAGCTCAGTTCTAGGTCCTATGAACCTCCAGCTATGGCTTTCATAAGGACAACCTTCATGTGATCGGTAAATTTCCCTAAGACACCCACCATCTTTAGCAACCCCTGTCAAGAGAGAGAGAGAGAGAGAGAGAGATATATATATATATATATTTATACATATCTGTATATGATTTATATATATATATATCTCTCTCTCTCTCTCTCTCTCCCTCTCTGTCTTTGTCCCCAGAAATCCTTAGCGTCCATGTTACTGCTCATGGGATGTTCAAGTTGATTCTGCATTATAACTAAACCCTAAACCTTAAACCCTCATCTCTACAGCCTGAACCTCGAGACCTAAACCTTGAACCCTAAGCCCTAGACCCAAAGCCCGAAGATGAACACCCTAAGACCTAATGACCCCTAAGCCCTAAACCCTACACCAAAAACCTTAAGCCTTAAGATTTGAGTTCCAAGCCTTAAACCCTAAACCCTGTAACTTACATGTCAACTCCGAAGCACACACAGAACGAACTCGTACATGCACTGAGAGCCCGAAGCCTCAAAGCCAGGGGGTTAAGGATTTAGGGCTTAGGACTTAGAGCTTCGAGTTTAAGATTTCTGGTTTAGAGTTTATGACTTAGGGTTTAGGGTTCCCCCTCAACACAAACCAAACCCTAGAATCCCAATGTGGAAAGCAACCAAAACCTCTTCTTCCCTTCCCCATGACGCAGGATGCGTGATGTTTATGGAGGCAAGATCCCTGACCCTAAGCCCTCTAGAATCGCAAAAAAAAAAAAGAGAGGATACCAATATGGTAGTTTCCGGATCCCTTGTATAACCCTTACATAGCCCCTCTGAAAGTAATTACCCCACATTCATCCCAAAACACCCTTAATCCCATGTAATAACATACCCTAACCTAAACCCCAAACCCCTAAACCCTTAAATCCTCAGCCCCAAACCCCTAAACCCCTGAACCCTGAGCACCAAACCTCTAAACCCCAACACCCTAGAACCCCAAAACCCCAAACCGTATATAACCCCCGTTGAACATCAATATGTTCTTGGTAAGATTTTGCGGCGCAAGCTGAGGCTCAGAGCAGCCGTTAGCGAGGCATTTGGGGGTTGAGGGATTTAGGGTTAAGGGTTTCAGGGATTTAGGGTCTGGGGATATAGGGTTTTAGGGATTTAGGGGTTTGGGGCTTCCGGGTCTAGGTATTCAGGGATTTAGGGCCCAGGGGCTTTAGGCGATTTAGGGTTTAGGGATTGAGGGTCTAGGGGCTTAGGGTTTAGGGTATGTACTGGCAACCATGTTAGGCATGTTTAGGGTTTAGAGTTCAGGGATTAGAGAGAATTGGGGGCCCAGTTTGGGCTTTATACGGGTCATATGGGTATTATGTAGAGGTTGTATAGGGAGCATATAGGGATCAGGTTGCAAAACGTGGGGCGGAATGTTACCCTATTACACCGTGGTACATGGGGTTTGTTGGGGGAGGGGGGTCCTTTTACATGGACAGCATGGGGGTATATAGTGATCATCTAGGGTTTAGGGTCTAGGGATGTTACCCCCTCCAGTGGAAAATCCTCTGGAAAGAAACTGGAAAGTGAAATGGAAACTGGGGTCGGGGCTGACGGCATTTAGGTCCCGCGCTACCGGTACCGTACGTAGGAAACGATATTGCTCATTGGTCCTATATTCCTCATGCATGTTAGGGTAATCTTTTGAAACTATATGAGGTCCCTTCTTGAGGGTCCGTTTAGTAGGGATTCTAAGCTTTGACGGATGGATACATTGTAACATACGGACCCAAATAATTGGAGTAAGGTTTGGTGCTTCTATCATACTTCAAACAAAGAAGAGCTATGGCCGGAAAATCTCGAAAGTTCGACAAGTATCTATAGTCCCCCTGAAGTAGATAGAATCTGGACATGACCGAAATCATAATGAGATCGCATATACCCCATATTCTATCTACTTAACGGGGGACTGTACATTATGGCTGAGCATTCAGGCATAGGAGCAGGAATGCTCATGCCCATCTTCCCACAAGTTTGCAAGCCCAAAGCGTAGATGGTAACACCTTGGATCTCAACGGTACACGGGGCTACCAGGGATATGTAAGAATGTTCCGTGCATTTAGGTCATGTATTCTGAAAGACGAGAGACGTCCTAGTTTTCATGCATACCCTAGGGTTGAGGGTTTAGGGTTTAGGGTAGTGAACGCCCAAGTTGCACCCCAACTGGAACCAAGTGTCCCTCAGCGTTGTCAGTCATCAGTACATACAACTGTGACATCACCCGTTTTCCTCAGTCTAAACCCCAAACCCTTGACCTTGTATCCAAATAGCCCAGGGTAATTCATAGCCTTCATAATCCACACGACACACCATTCACAACACATGTAGAGCTCCTGCTCAGCTGTATTAGCCCAGAGGCCCTGACCCCTGGAGGTCTTGCGGATGCACCCACCGCTCTTCTTGCTGATGAGAACGGTGGAGCAAGACGTGGAGTTCAAGGCAATGGGATCCTGAGCCCTTCCAAACCTTAGCAGCTTGTTGGTTCGGGCAGCCACACACTACAATTTCTGGGTTCCGATGAACCTGTTATGGTAAACAAATAATGAAAAACATGTCGACTCTTGTCTGGCCTTGGCAACTTATTGTGTTTTGGGACAACTGACGTAAGCCCCATCATGGGTATTGCTCTCGGGTCCCATATAAATCCAAGAAAGGGTTCAGGGTTTGCGGATGTTGTCCCCCAATCGCGGAGAACCAAATGGAAGGGAACATGAACATTAAATGGAAGTTGGGTTTAGGGTTCAGAAGTAAAATGTTCAGGATTCCGTCAACATTACGCACACCCAGGGACCATCCTGGCCGGACATGGGGGGCCCTTTCTGTAGCTTAGTACAGTCGCTCGAATATATTCCCGAATAGGAACCCATCTTCATTGTACAGATTGTAAAAATTGGCTGTAGCTCACGTGAGGTAAGGCAGGCGCAGCAGGGTGTACATGTTGTTAAACTGGTGGATTGAATTTGAAACTATCCTTCCCTTTGTATTCTACAGCCATTACAATAGGACAGCACACGAAACCCTCAATCCTAAACAATACCCCTAAGGGTCCGAGGACTCAAATATCAGGGTTGCTAGGCACCAAAACCGTTGGGATTACGGTATTTGGGACGGCGAACCATGATATGTGAGTCCTTGGACTTTTAGGGTGTACCTGAACCCCAAAAGTAGGTAGAATAATGGCCCAAGACCCCTTAAGATAACCCAGAAGGCCATCATGTTACATACTTTTGGGGCTCGGGTAGGCAAGCTTACGAGCCCCTTGCTTGATACAGCCAACTTTGCAAGCGCGAGGAAGACATGCGAAAAGGGAACCCATACCCTAAGGATCCAAGTATATAAAGAATATCTAAATTGGGCCCTAAAGTCTGTAAGTATTACCTACATGGGCTATTTGGATCCCTGGCATTATATCAGCCATTGTCTAAAATCCCAGTATTCGCCTTAATAACCTCTATAATACTCCCCTAAAACTCACAGTATAACCTCCCTTTAGGGAGTTTAGACCGTAAACCGTGAATGAAACTGGTTCTAGAACCTACATAACAAAATTGCCATTTCAAGGAGTCTTCAGCCATTATTTTGCTTAATTTGGGGGTCCAGGTACTTGGTTGCTAGCTGAAGACTTTCCACATGCGAACCTCCTGCAAAAGATACATTGAGCCCCACATCCAGTAGAGTTTGAAAGTCCAGTGGTCCTTGAAAAGCCCCATTTTGGGTTCGCTGCCAGTTGGGGAGGGTGTATCAACATCTCTGCATGTATGATTCACCCCTAAATCCTAGTGTTTGCGGTCCTTGCTGTGCACGGCCCTAGACCCCAAAACCCCAGCCTAGGGATCCCAATAGCCCAATGTAGGATATATATATATATAGACTTTCGGGCCCAATGTAGGTATTATTTGTATACTGGGACCCCAAAACCCAAGCCTAGAAGAGCCTGATTGTCCCATCAAACAGGCTCGGGAAGAAGTGGGGCTTTTGAAGAACCAGGGGCCCGACGAGAACTTTTGACTAAAACCCTAAGCCCTGAACCCTAAGCCCTACCTGAGCAGCGAATAAGGGAATATTCTTCCTATGTAGTACCTTTTACCTTATGATATCTTCCGTTATTCCCTATACTAATTAAGAATCAGTAAGCTTAGGGTTTAGGTGTCTGGGCTTAGGCTTAATTAGGGCCTAGGTACTTGGGACCGAGGTTTAGCCAGGTATGCAGCCTACTATGCAAATGCAGCAGCCAGCTATGCAGGCAGCTATGGACATGCCGCAGGTATGATGCAGCAACCAAGTATGGGCATGCCAATGCAGGTTTTTGCGCCAATGCGGGGCCAGACTCCTATTCAGCCCCCTATGCCACACCCAGCTATGATGCAGTCTGCTGGATTCGGAAATGAGCCGGCAACGCCTGTGGACTCACGCCAAAACTATGTAAAATCATGGCCTTTCCGGCTATTTTATGGTGTTTTGGGCCATTAGTTTACCTACTTTGGGGGTCCAGGTACACCCTAAGCCCTAAGCCCGAAACCCCAAACCCTAAGCCCTAAACCCTAAGCCCGAAACCCTAAACCCTAAGCCCTAAACCCTATAAGACCTGAATCCTAAACTCTTACATCGTAAACTATAAAGTTTCAATGCCCGGGGTGTTGCTACGAAGGCACTAGGTGAGCCTCTGACCAAACCAGACTAGCTGAGAGTTAGCCGGGAAGTAGGGAACACACATCCATACACCTATCTATATCTATCTATATATATATATATATGGGTATCTAGAGGGTTCCGGGCTTAGGGAACAAGGGCATACATTCTACGGGGATTACATAGGGACAATCTTCCCTTTATTCACTAGTAGCCACCAGTGAGCAGAGCTCCACAAGAAGCCAAGAAGTCCCAAACCCAAAAGCTACAAACCCAAATCTCGAACCTGTTACGGTTTAGGGTGTAGGGTGTAGGATTTGGGGTGTAGAGGTTAGGGTTTGGGGTTCACCCCAAGCCCGTGAAACCCTAAACCCTCAACCCTAAACCCTAAACCCCCTAGACTCTGAAGCCATGAGCCAACAGGGCTACTCGATCCGTCGGGGCAGCGTCGTTGCTTGCTCTCCCAACGTTAGCCACATGCTGGACGACGTGTGCCCTGGATTAGGGTTCTAGGGTTCAGGGTTTAGTGTTTAGCCAGTACCCCATAGTTGTGTATTTGGGATTTGGGTGATACTAATTGTAGTTTAGGGTTTCATTATGGGTTTTCTGCTTCCCTTGTGCCTAGTCCTCGTAATGATGTTTTTGGGAGTGGGTTTACACTAGTAGTTGTAGTTAAGGGCTTATTCTTCTGTAAGGTGGGCAAGAGTAATTGTAGTTTAAAGCTTCAGGCATATCTAGCCGTCGCAACGATGAATTCTCAAACCCAGAGAGCCAATAATCCTAGAAGAGCAGCTGCAAAAAGGGGAAGACTTGCGTGTGACTAGGGGTGGTTCTGAGATAATTTAGGGGGGTCACCCCCTTCATCCTAGACATTGAAAGATCTTAGTGTACTTTAGTAAGCTACTTTCCAAGGTGTTGGGTACTTAAGTTTGTGCAAGAAGTTTAGTACGACCATGTTTTTTCTTTAAAAAAAATATATAACCCCAAGAAAATTCAAGCCCTAAACCTTTCGTTGGATCATGCTGAAGACTCCTTCGCCTCCTAGCCGCCAGGTATCCGAAAGCTGCTGACTTCGATCCGCTGCGATTCATTGATGGCATCAAGGATGTCAGCAAAGGGTTTAGGGTTTAGGGTTCAAGGTTTAGGGTTTAGGGTTAGAGTTTAGGGCTTAGGGGTTAGGACGGGGTTTAGGCTTCGGGGGAATATCACTCCAGTAACGGAGATTCACAAGGACAAACAACTGCAAAATGGATCATATAGTGGATGGCAGCACTTCCTTGACCCCTAAATAGTCTAGACTTCTCAAAGGGGATTATACACGGGATTATATAGGGGATCATATAGGGGAGTATTAATTATTATAGGGGCTACTAAGGGTGATACTGGGAGTTTAAACCCTAAACCCTAAACCATAGCCCTAAAGTTAAGAGGAGGCTTTGGGCATCGGGGCTCATCAACTTCTGATCTGCGACACCATGCTGAGTTCGTAGTTTGGTGTAACAAAAGGAATTAGGGTTAAGGATTAAGGGTGGAGGATCAGAAGGTTCATTCGTGATCAGTACAAGCCCAAACCCCGAGCCTTAAAACATATGACTGAACCTTAAAATCCTGGACATTAAAGCCTAAGCCCCAAACCCTGAGCCCCAAACACTAAACCCTAAGACTCGGAAACTTGCTTCCTTTCCTAAGTCCTAAACACTGAACTAACTCCATCTCTTCACTGTGCTATGTCAGCAGGTCACGCGAAGGTTCCAGTTGTGAGAGTTTAGGACTTAGGGTTAGGGTTCACGGATTATGGCTTAGGGCGTTTAGGATTAGAGTTTCGGGGTTAGGGTTCAGGAGTTACCCATAAGTCTGAATACCTACAGTTTAGTAGTAACAAGTCTCGATTAGTGGGTATAGCCCATAAAACTGTAGTAGGTAGTTGGGGTTTAGGAGGGCTTAGGGATAACGGATTCAATTTCAGGGTTGTTTAGCATCTGGGTTTAGGGCGTAGCAAGTGCTGGAACCCCAGTTGTTTTTTCAGCCCTTGTATTCGAGCACTCGGGCCTTCGGTAAGCAGGCAGTGGGAGCCAATTCACGAAGGAAGGCTCTTGGATCCTTCCTCAAGCAGAGCTGTTCATTGTTGTCCTGCTTTTGCAACGGCACGCTTCTCAGAAATAAGTGTCTGCACTTTCCTCGTAGGTCTCCGCACCGTTGTTGCTTAGGGAACGGGTCCGCTTCACGTCCGCGTGCTGTTCCGCGCTCGTACAAGCAGCACACAGAAATGAAGCAGAACCCCGAGCCGAAGCGGCATGCATTTCTTCGCTTGCTGTTATGTCTTGACTGGGCTCCTTCTGCCCAAGCTAGCTGTAGCTCTACTCAACATCATTGCAAGCTGCTTCCGCCACCGTTCCACTTGAGTTATCTGAAGCAGAACCCAAGCCGACGCGGCATGGCTATGCAGTCCTATGATTACAGCACTTTCCAGCATGAAGCTGCAACTCAGAGACTTGGATGTTCCGTTTTGGGCATCTCTTATGGTAAGGAACCCATTTTTTGTGGGAGGGGGGAGTGGTGTATAACATGGGCCCGTCTTTGCTAAATATGGGGTTGCGCAGTGCGGCGTTCGATGTTAGGAATTCTGAGATCAAGGATGCTGATGCGCATGGCTATGCCGCTTCTCAAGACTTTACAGACAGCAGAAAACCCGAAACACCCCAAACCCTCAACGCCCTAAACCCTAACACCCTCCACACCCTAAACCCTTTCCTAGCCAGCCTCCAGCACGGTTTTAAGATTGTTCATGTAACAACATTCTGTGAGAAGGTCGCTTAACGGCTCTGCGGTACACTTAGGGTTCAGGGTTTAGGTTTAGAGGTTCTGGGGTATAAGGTGAACTTCGTTTGTCATCGGTAAAGCTCCCTTGCGATGTACCACGCTTTAGCGTTTCGGGTTCAGAGTCAAGGCACAGCTGGTGGCCCCTAGAACTCCACATCTAAGACACAGCCCCCTGCCAGGACCAGTGGTCCTACATTCCCTTTGGAGGGGGACGTAGGGTCTGTAAAGGCCAGGAGTTTGGCTACATGCAGGTCCAATGTGCTGGGGCCTCAGACCCAGGGCCGTGAATCCCTAGACTTCAAAAGCCGAAGTTCCTAAAGCCCAAACCCCAAGCCCTAGACCCCTGGGGCCTCTAAAGGGGCTTCTATCTGTTTGAAACGGATCCGGTGATTCCAGAGCTTGAGTTAGAGGGTTTAGGGGTAAGGGGATTAGGGCTTAGAGTTTAGGGGATCAGGCCCTTGTCCTGGCGCTCCAAGTCTACAAGGGATGCCTACACTGGACCCGGAGGTCTATCAATCTTGCTTACGTTTTGTTATCTGGGTTGCTGTTAAGGAACTTAAATTAAGTTACCTTAATGGGTATATATAGTAAATAATAGGGTTTCCCCAATATAGTAACTTAATTTAAGTTCCTTAATAGCAACCCAGTTGTGTGGAGCCCTAGGGTGAGGGTTCGAGAGGTTTGGGGCTTTTCGGTTTGGACGCCGGAGATTGAAGTTGCAGGGCTTCTTGGTTTGAGAGCTGCTAGTTTGGGTACTGCCCCCACTGATAAACAGTTGGAAAATACCTATAGTAAAATTGTCTAATATGGTTCTTAACATGAACTATATAGTTGTTCGTGTTCAGGAGTCGTTGGCTAAGGTTTGGAAGTTTACGGCTTGGGTCTACCCACGGTAAATTCAGCATGGAGAAATGGCCGCGTAGGAAAACCACGAGGTAGCTAGATTATCTACCCTAAACCCTAAACCGCGTGGATTCGGTAAGACTGAGAGCACTGCAAGGCCAGAAGCCCCACACTCAAGACTTAGAGTTTTTGCTTGTGGGACTTGATTTAACGGAACTACTTGCTGGTGGTAAGTACCTGAACCCCAAAAGTATGTAAAACAAATGCCTTTTGTGATATGTTTAAGGGTTTGGGGCCATTATTTTACCTGCTTTTGGGGTCCAGGTAAGGAATGAGGAAATTAGGGTGTAGGGTTGGCAGGGAATAAGGGATTACATTAAATGAAGACGATATGGGATTGTATCCCCTTATTCCCTACTAACCATCACCAGGAAGTAACAGTTCTATTGACAGGAAGAATAATAGTTATAGGAATAGTAACAGCAATCTATTAGGTGGACCCCTACCCTGTAATAGTTGTTCTAAGAGATAATAAGGATTATATTAGGGTCCTCTTATTTTCCCATTATACCACTATTACAGCGTGGCGGGTCCTCCAAAGCAATCCAGTAATTCATAAAGAAAAGTGATAATTGCTGCTACCCAGCAGAAATTGTGTCAGCGCCACAGACAGCGCCCTGTCGTTCAACAGGAGGACAAGTACAAGCGTTTCGGGTTTAGGAGCAGCCGGAGTCAGCCATGCAGGAAGAAGCCTATTGGAAGCTTCAGCTTTGCTTGACGGCGGAGGGTTTCCAGAAACCTGCTGCGATGGCGGAGCCTTTGGACCTTCCCACGTGAATGACCGGCGACTAGGGCCATGATATTGGTATTTATTGAAGCCCTTGTGATACTCATCGCCAGGCCCCACACCCTGCGTTCGGCCCTTCACCCTAAACTCTATGTATTATCATCGCTATGACTATTAACCTTCCTATTATGACCCCTTTTTTCCTAACAGCTACTATTGCTGTTACTGTGCCTAATACTATTGCTGCTACTGCCAGTAGTATTGTTTTTAAAGCTATTACTCTTGCCTCTCCCCATGAAAATTTGAAGTCATAGACATTGCCACTCCGAGGGTTCAAAGTCTATTGGGTTAATAGTACCCAAATCCATATTCTATCTACCTAAGGGGGACTATAAACCATAAACCCTTAACAGTTGTTTCCATGTTCTTTTCCACCATCCACCAAAAAAAACTATAGGTTTTTTTTGGGGGGTGTGTTGGCACACAGTAGCTGGCGGTCATGGGGAGGGAGCTTCGAGGCGGAGTTTCGCATGAGTGCCTGAACCCTAGGGTTTAGGGTTTAGGGTTAATCTAGATATTGGGGTCCCCTGCTGTAGCCCTATCATCACATCATACCCCTTACAAAGGTTATGATGACCTAACAGCTTCCAAACTATCCCAAGACAGTTTTCTGTCTTTTAGGCACCTAAACAGTGTAATCTCTAGAAATGTGTCCATTTAATTTTCCACGTTCTTTCCCATTTCTACTCCCACACACAATAACAACCCTTAACCCAAGCCATCCTCGACAAAACTGTGGCTCCTGCTCAGGCCATCTCTCACATGCGGCTTGGCTTGTATATGTTCTATAGTCTCAACTCCCTAAACAGGAGTCATATGGGGCAACATTGTAGGGGTTGTGAAGGGGGATACCAGGAGTTCAGACCCTAAACCCTAAACACTACATTATAGGGCTTACCAATGGGGATACCAGGAGTTTGGACTATAGCTCGTATGAGCTATAGTCTAAACTCCTAGTATCCCCCTTAATAACCCCTATAGTAGTCCCCTATATGATCGCCTATATAACTCCCCTTTAAGGAGTTTAGACTATAGCTCATATCACGTTTCAAAGTTTCGGTCTGTCTGGGTTGGGCCGCACAATCTGCACCACGCATGGCTCGCCAAATTCCCCATATCCTAAACCCGACAAGCTAGACGCTGAAAAAGGTGTAGGTTGCAAAAAATGTGTTTTCCTATATAACTTTGATGCCTAGTTAATCCCTAGAAGGTCATAAGAATATCATTTTTAGCAAACCTACCCTAGAAAACCTGAACCTGAAGCAGGTCATGTCGCGAACTTCTGACATGGCAATTCTCCGAAATCGTTTTTCAGGGTTTTGAGATTTGCACTATAAAGATTATGTTCTTATGGCCTTCCAATGATTATACAGGGATTATATAGGAATTACGGGTAATAAGAATTCAGAATTATTCTTGGGATCCAGCTTATGTATGAGGTTCATAGGTTTACAGTCCCCCTTAAGTACATAGAATATGGCTTTGAGTGGATCATGATAAGATCCCCATATACCCCATATTCTATCTACTTAAGAGGGACTATAGTTCGAACCGCCATAAAGCAAGACTCTGTCTCATGAGGTCACGGCTAACAAGAAAACACTGGGGGTTATAAAATAACCCGCCTTCTCCAAGTTATGTCATGAGTGTCCCGAGATAGCGTTTGACCCGGGAAACGATAGGGAGTAAAAAACGATAAGGTTTAAGCAGCCCCCAAACATTGTAAAACGATAAGGAGTAAAAACAAAAAATGATGAGGTTGAAGTTTTCAAAGGATTTAATCCGGGGTGTTTATGCAACCCCACTTTTCTTGTATCACTTGAAACGCAAAGTCTCGAAATCTTGGCCCGCGAGCGCTGTATGATCTCTGCAGCTCTTCCAATAAAGACCTTACCCCCCCTCATACCTTGATGTCAGAGAAACTTGCTTCGCAAATCCGCAAGCCCAAGCCCAACACCCGGCACCGGAAACCCCCCCTAAACCCTACACCCCCTAAACCTTAAACCCCCTAAACCCTAAACCCCCTAGACCTTAAACCCCCTAAATCCCAAACCCCCTAAACCCAAAACCCCCAAAACCCAAAACCCCATGAACCCTAAACCCCAAACCCTCAAAAACACCGTAAGGGCCAGATAATTACGCTAGCACACTGGTTGCCCGCACCCAGCACCAGGGCTTGCCTTGCCAATAATGGTTTAGGGGGTTTAGGGTTATATAGGGGTTATATAGGGCTTATATAGGGCTTATATAGGGATTAGGGTTTAGAGGGTTTAGGGTTTGGTGGATTTAGGGTTTAGGGGGTTTGGGGTGTGGGCTTTAAGACCCTCCAAACAGACCACAACCATGAGCCCTATAATAGCCACACGATTAAGGCTTAGGGTTTAGAGGTCTGGATTTAGCGTTTAGGGTTCAGGCCATGAAGCCCCTAAACCCTAAACCCTAAACCCTAAAACATGAAGCCTACAATCCCTCAATGGAGCCCCGCGACCATACCACAGCTCTCAACCCTAGACCCTAAACCCCTAAACGCTAAACCCATGAAGATTGTTGCATCGCAGCCCTGTTCTGGTAACCCCCGTCGGTCTGAAAACTTAACATCTTAAACGCCAAGCCCGAATTCTTGGCTCTTAGCACTACACACCTAAGAGTTAGGTGGACCCCCCCACCCTAATAGTGACTACAAGAGATAAAAGGATTATCTTAGGGTCCTTGTATTCCTATTATACCACTATTACAGGATGGCGGGACCTCCTAACCTAACAGACACCCCTGAACCCTAAACACTATACCCTATTATACTATCGTAGTTTCCATTTTCTTTTCCATTATCCCAATATAATCCTAATATATGTCCTATAAGACAATCATGAAGTAACAAGACGCTTGGAAACTCCAGGCTCCGGCACTACAACATCGAAGCCTGGCAAAACAGGGTAGCTTAGAACAGGGGTTGTAGGGGATTTAGGTACCCATTACGGTAATATTAGGTGTGTATTGGGGCTATATTGGGATACTGGAAAATAACATGGAAACTACTACAGTGGGATATATAGGCTTAGAACATGGGTTTGTTGACAGCTTGTAGGGCTTGAGGTTCCCTCATCCGATACGGGGTTTAGGGTTCAGGGTTTAGGATTCAGGGTTTAGAGTTTAGGGTTTAGGGTGTAGGAGAAACAGCCTTGTGTTTAGAGTCTGAAATGTATGGATCCTACTCATCCCAGTATGTCATATTCAGGGTTCTCAGCGTTTGCGAGGAACAATCTCGCTACTGTAGGAAGCCCTAAACCCCAAGCCCTAAATCCAAATGGCAATTTCCCTAAATAAGGGGACCCCAAGACATACCCCAAAATATCATAATCCTTATTATGGGGACCCCCAAGAAGGTACCCCTAATTTTGGGAAACCCCCAAATCCTAATAAGACAGAGAAGTGGCCGCTGTTCAGAAACTCCAGCCCTCCTTCGGTATCTATTCAAAGGGGTCCTATAGCGGATCTCTTGGGGTTATATCCGGGATAGGATCAGGGTTTTAGGGGTTTTGATATGTGGGGTGTGGGGTTAGTTTACTGTGGTATGGGCGCATGACAGATGAACTGTTTGTCTTGTAATGCTAACTTAACATAGGCGGCTTTGCAACGACCCAGTTTCGAAACGTCCCTGGCAGTCCCTTTGCATTGTTTTCAGGGCGCAGGGTTCATGGGTTTTGTTGGTTTAGGTGTTCTCGCTCAGGGTTTTTGAGCGTCAAGGGTTGAGGGTTTAGGGAAGCCCAGACTCTAAATCTTGCTTGTTGGCTCAGGGTTTTGAGCTTAAACCAGCCCCTAAAGAGGAAATACCATCATTGCCCGCCTTGTTATCGTTTAGTGTGCTTCTCTTCCAAATTGATCCTTCTATAATCCCAAGTAAGGGCCCCATAATCCCTATAAATCCTTGGGGTCCTTAAGGGGCCCTCCCTTGCTGAGGAACTTCCGTACGTCCCACACGTGGTGGATGGTTACCCTAAACCCGAAACCCTAAAGCTTAAACCCTAAACTCTAAACCCTAAACCTTAAACCCCTAAACCCTAAAGCCCTGAACCCTAGAGATTAACAACCCTAAACCCTTAAACCCTAAACCCTAAACCCTTGAACCCTAAACCCTAAACCTTGCCGGCGCTTACGCTCTTGACATGCCCTAAGAGAAATGCGGAGCCACCTTGCAGTTGCCAGATCTTAGAGGTCTAGAGTTATAATCCCCCCTTGAGTAGATAGGGTAGTTTATAGGGGGTTTAGGGTTTAGGGTAGTTATAATCCCCCTTAAGTAGATAGAATATAGGGGTCGTATTGGGATAATGGAAAAGAAAATGGAAGCAACTATTTAGGGTAGATGTGGGGATCATGGAAAAGAACATGGAAACTACTATAATGGGTTGTATGGGGTTTAGGAGTTATAACCCTTTAAAGTAGATAGAACATAGCTCTGGGTATATTATAGTAAGATCCCCATATATCCCATATTCTATCTACTTAAGGGGGGCTGTAAGAATTTACCCAAAACCCAACACCCTAAACCCAAAACCCTAAACCCCTAAACCCTAAAGGGTGGAGGGGCATCTCAGTACCTGAGCAGAGTCATCGTCAACCTCTTGGGCTATATGTTTTGCAGTAGGTTTTCACGTGATTTCTGGATGTTCCTATGATACTCCCCTACTACAGAGTCCCCTATAAAACCCCCATTTAAGAGGTGAGGCTATAGCTCACTTGGCGAATAGTCTGCTACCAAAATATAGGTACAAAGTGAATCATGCGGTCTCTTTGTAATCCCCCCCCTGATATTAGCACCCCTCCCACCTCCCTGACATTGAAAATTCCCGTGGCGGTATACTATAATATATGGAGAAAATTCGATATTAGGTGGGTGGGGGATTTCAATAACCAAAAACCCCATACCCTACTAACCCAAATACTCCTGGTACTACGAGAGGATAAAGGGACACCACTTGAACTGCCATTACCTCTTCCTCTTGATGTCACTGCTTCTGCGCGGGAGCCCAACGTGAACTTTGCATCTGCCTTATCGTAGCTAAGCTTAAACTCGCCAGTTTCAATTTACCAGCAAATTCGCCCGGGCGTGTTATCAGCCTGTAATAGGGACAGGATTGGACCCTTAAACCCTAAAAGTCTGGGGGATCCTAGGACTCTAGACCCTAAACCCCTAACCTTAAACCCTTGACCCTATGGGTTACAGAGGGAGATACTAGGAGTTTAGACGATACCTCATGTTATCCATGGTTTTCGACCTTAAACCCTCCACCCTAAACCTTAAACCCTAAACCCTAAACCCCTAAACCCTAAACCCCTAAACCCCTAAACCCTAAACCCTAAACCCTAAATCCCTAAAATATAACCCTACTGAAAAGGAACCCAGCCATGCTTCCTGAATGAATCCAGAGCCCAAAAGGAATCCCTCCTCAGGGGTTAAGGGTTTGTAGGATTTAGGATTTGGGGTTTAGGATGTAGGATTTGGGGTTCAGGGTTTGGGGTCTAGGATTTAGGATTTAGGATTTGGGGTTATAGGGTTTGGGGTTTAGGATTTAGGATTTATGGTTTAGGGTTTGGGGTCTAGGATTTACGATTTCGGGTTTTGGATTTTGGGGCCCTGGCACCCCCTAAGAGTTGCAGCACAGTCCCTCGTTTCAAACCATGAACCGCCAAGGAGTGTGTCGATGGCGTGCCTCCGCCCACTATTGCTCAAGATGGCATGGTCATTGCACCGACGCAGCCATGCCGGGTGCGCTACACGCGCAAGTGATCCCTGCTGATTGAACCCAAGCTCTCATAAACTCAAAATCAGGCTCATGGCTACCTTTCGAACCTGCCAAATGGAGTTCTCATCTGCGCGAATGTTCCACGACAGAGCCCTTGTTAGGACCTTAAATTCCATCAGTTTCTACTTCATGTCACTTTGGGGTCCTCAACCCCGAGCCCATGTAAACACCTAAACATACACCCTAAACTGTTTTCCCCCGGCTGGCCGGGTTCCTGGTTCAGCAGGCCTTCACCATAGCACCAAGACGTCCACAAGCCTAAGCCCATTTACATTAAAGCTAACACTACACTCAACTAACATACGCCTAGATACTTACCTATCTTAAACCTCTAAACCCTAAATCCTAAACCTAGGTAGAGACTAGCAACTTGCAACCCAGTTATATTCCACGGATTTTCGTATATTCCCAGGGATCAAAGTACAGTCTGTATTTCGTCTTTTTGGCATACTTTACAAAGGGTTCTAGGGTTTAGGGTTAGCTGTTTGAGACGAAGCTCCTCAGGGTATGTCGGGGCGTTTGGGACTTGAGGTTTGGGAAGTTCAAGCCCACTTGAAGAGGGGTTCTTATCACAACTCCCACTTTTTGGGCAAAGGAGCCCTCAACCCTAAACCCCTAAACCCTACATGATCTCTATAACCCTGTGGCTTTCTGAACCAGGAAACCACATCCCTTGTAACAATTACCAGGGACTCACTGCAGTTCTTTAAATGGACAACTTGTGCATGCTGGAAGAAAAGCCCGTGGGCTCGGCGGGGGGGGGTGCAGGGTTCTCGTGAAGAAAATGCCCAAATATTAGGTGTCTCAGGTGTCTTTCTTTGGGAACCATAAACTCTAAACCCCAAATCCTAAAACCTAAGCCCTAAACCCTACAGTAGGGATTGTGGGTCTTTGGGTGTGTTTACGATGCACCTCTAGCTTTGGAGGCGCGCCCCACCCAGATCCTGGATTGCTGCTATTACCCACCACTAGGTTCAGGTAGGGTTTAAGGCTTAAGGTTATATATGGATAATGGACAAGAAAATGGAAACTACAGGGATTATAGGGATTATCTAGGGTTTAGGGGTTTAGGGTCTCGGGTTTAGCGTTGTTTAGGGTTTAAGGTCCTGGTTGTTTAGGGCTTAGGGTTGAGGGTTGTCTTGGGGTTTAGGGTATAGGGTTATCTAGCATGCTAGTTTCAAGGGAGTACAGGATATTAGCTGCCTCTAATTTTGACTTTCCCCGCTTAGTTTTTTCTCCGCAAGCCTCAAACTCCAAACTCTTAAGCCCTTAGCCCTAAACCCTAAACCCCACGGAGTGTCGCAGGTTGGGTTCCCTGCCTTCCTTCGAAGTGGTTGTTTAGGAAACAACGTTTCATCTGCTGGCTGCTTGGCTGCCCAGGTAAGCCCCAAACCCGAAATCCTATGAGGGTTAAACTTGGGGTTATCTTGGAGTAGTATTATGTTTTACTGGGCTTATATTTCAGTAATATTAGGGTTATAGTGGAGTTATACTGGGGTGAGGTCATAACTCCTGAGCAAGTTTTCGGCTTTTAGCGATTCAGATTTTGTTAGGGGTTTAGGGTTAATAGCGTTTAGGGTGAAGCTTAACTTATCAGAAGCATGGCCGCCTTGGGCTAGTGTTTTCACATGTCGTCTGGTCGAAGGTGATCTATTTAGGGGAGACGACCGATGAAAGCCTTGTAGATGTAATCCTTGGTCGGGGCCACCCCATAGTTCCGTTATGACCCCTGCATATCCCTTACCCCAACATAACCCTATTGCTACCCCTAGTAAGTATAACCCAATATAGCCCTGAGACTACCCCAATATACCCCAATTTAGTCGTAATATAACCCCAATATAACCCTACTATTACCCCAACGGGTACCTGTATCCCCTGTTGCCAGAAGCCCAAACCCTAAACCCTCCCTAAACCTGCAACCTCAACCGTGGGTCTCTAGGTTTCAAGGTGGGTTCTTCGGCCTGGGTCAACAGGATGCCTTTCAGCTGCCCTAAGCCCGGTAAACCCAAAGTCCCCCAGATGAGCCCTTAACCCGAAACCCCGTAGACCCTAAATCCTGCAAACACTTAGCTCCTCCCACTGGTTGCTCTTCATGTCACGTAGTATGCACGGGCAGCCAAATAGAATCGCCCCCTCAACACTAAACCCTCAACCCTCCACCCTAGACCTCGAATCCTTAACTTTACCCTGAACCCAAACCCCTAAACCCCTAAACCCTATATAACCCCATTATAGTAGTTTCCATTTTCTTTTCCATTATCCTTATAAAAACTCCTAGAAACCCAATTTCCCTTTTCCCGCAGACCCCGGTGCTGCACAGCTTCCGTCTCCTCGGCGACGGACAGGTTGTCGGTCTGGGCGACACAGGCAGGGTTTAGGGTTTAGGGTTTAGGGTTAAGTGTGTATCACCATGGGCTATTACACCCTAGAATTCCATATTTGGACCCTATTAAAGGTAGATTAAGGTACCCTTAAGGTCTAATTGCCCATAGTGGTAGGGTTGTTGGTTTAGGGTCGAGGGTTTGGGGTTTGGGGGTTGTACGGGGGTACTGAGAAATCTGGTATTCGAGTAGACATAAAGCGATACTATAGTCCCATGTGAATATAGCCTTTATATTGCCCCAAGATGACCCCAATATAATTCTAATATTACCCCAATATAACCCCAATATAACCCTAATATTACCCCAATGGGTGAGAGTTTGGCATGCAAAATTCCAAGCTCGCATTATGTGAGCTGTGGTCGAAACTCCTCAAAGGGGGTTTTATAGGGGAGCATTATAGGGGCTATGAAGGGGGATAGTAGGAGTTTAGACTATAACCCCTATTATCCCCTAGATAACCACAGTTTCCATTTAATTTTCCATTTTCTTGTCCATTTGATTCTCCATTCTAGGGGGTATTAAGGGGGATAATGTAGGGGTTGCCAAAACTCCGAGATGACCGCCTGGTTCTCTCGTTTGCGGTTGTAGGGTTTAGGGCTCAGGGTGTCGGGTTGAAGGTTTAGGGTTTAGGATGTAGGGTCTAGGGCTTACCACTATGGGCTATTAGACCTTAAGGGTACATTAATCTACCTTTAATGGGGTCCAAATAGGGAATTCTAGGGTCTTATAGCCCATGGTGGTACCCTAAACGGTAAACCCTTCCACCCATCGTTGAAGCAGATATGCTCCACTTTGCGAGTTGAGACTTAAGTCCAATGAGTAGGTAGAAGCCTGAGATCTTGACTCCCTGGTACTGAAAACTTGAAGCCCACTGAATCTCCCGAAGTGTTGATCGCATGCTGTATCGGATAGAGGGTTTAGGGTGAAGGGCACAAGCAGGCACCTCCCTTTCGCATTTACAAATTACTCAAGCGCCTTGAGGTGGATACAAGGGAGCGTGCCTATTTGTGGCTTATCTACAACGTTGCCAAATTTGTCAGACACTTTGCATTGCCAGAGCCTGGGGATGAGCACGAAGCCCGTGGTTTCCCTTGGCCTCCTAAAAACCAGCCTAAAGCCGAAACCTGAAGCCCTGAACCCTGAACCCGAAGCCCTACACTCCAAATCCTAAACCAGGCTTGAGGGCTACCCTAAACCCTAAGCTCGAAGCCCTAAGCCCTGTAAGGCTTCAGGTACAGGGTTTAGGGCGACCCTACACCCTAAACCCCAAGCCCTAAGTCCTGTAAGAATTAAGGTGCAGGGTTTAGGGCTACCCTACACCCTAAACCCTAAACCCTAAGCCTTGTAAGGCGTAAGGTGCAGGGTTTACGGCCCCCAGGGTTTCAGGATCTCAGCAGCCTCAGTCAGGGTAGTCCTACCTTTTTCCTCAGTGTTGGGGAAGTTTATGGTTTAAGGTTTACAGGGTTTAGGGTTTATAGGGTTTAGGATTTAGGGTTTGCGGGTTTAGGATTCAGGCTTTCGGGTGTTAGGGGTGTAGGATTTCGGGTTCGGGGATTTTGGTTTAGTGTTTAGGCTTTGGGGGCTTTGGGTTTTGGAGGTTGGGGTTTGGGGTTGAGGGGTTTAGGGATTATGGTTTAGGGTTTTAGGGGAGCGTTTGGCTACCAGCCTACATCCCTAGACCTTCAAGCGCTCTACATCCTTAGACTCGTTAGACATCCCGAATATAGTGTTGTTTCCCCTAAGCCCTCAACCCTAACCCTAGTGATATAACCCATTAATGTTGCACTTACTTTAGTAAAGAGACCTTGAGCAATGTGTTTTGGCCGCCGCGTGTTCAATTCCAGGCCAATGTTGGGAAGGCCTTGAATAATGTGCTTCGGTTTTGGGACCCTTAAAAAAGAGGGAAGCTTCAAATTTTGAGGCGCCAAGAAAAGGATTTTAAAAGGCAGCCCTTTGTAATCCTTTCCCGGCTCGGCCCTCAGAGATATCCAGAATCCAAATACTCACCAAGTCTTGAACCTGAAGCCAGTTAGTTTTATTCAAAACCCTTGCTCCGAAAACTTAAGAATCGTAGACCAAGACCATCCCTTTTAAAGCAATCCCCAGAATCCCCAGAATCGTGGGAGGTTCTGAAGCCGTTATCGAGGACGCCTAATTTCTAGTTTGCTGGACCTCCTGTTGTTAGGGGGAGGAGGGGGGGATCTAGAGTTAACAGAGAGTGCAACATTATCAGCACACTGTTTTAACATAGACCGTTTTATATTCTGTATCACCCATCCTGTTTGGACGCCCCCCTAAAAAGCCTCAAACCCTAGCCCCCGTTTGCAGACGTTTATATAAACTGTTTGTGGTTTAAGGTTTAGGGTTTAGGGCTATTCACTGGCTGCACAGGCGTGGACGCCCAGTCCTGCTCCTTCAATGACCCTGCTCACGAGGCACCAGAAATGGATCTAGGGCTTTCCAACCAGATCACGGCTCCTTAAACGGGGTTGCTGCTAAGGATTAGATTCAGTTGCAATAATGGGTACATATTAGGTAAACAATGGGGTTTCCCCAATATAGTACCCTAAACCCTAAACCCTATCTTATACCCCAAT